CCAGGTGTTGCTACCTGCAGCTTGTAAAAGATGAAATGGCCGAAACCACAATCTGTGGTGAGTTTTAAATTATTATGTCATTGACAAGCGGATAAACATTATAAAATATTTATCTTTATGTTTGTCTTTATACAATAAAATTTTTTATAGGTGTAGAAAGAAAAAAGTGAAATGTGACAATATTTTCCAACTGTGTAAGATACAAACAATCATTTTCTTTGTGATGATGGTATTTGCGCGTATGAATATATAGAGAAATTAAATGATTATTTGGCAGGTACGATTGTTGAAAATTCGTTTAGTCTCTCAATTGTGATACTATTCATAAGTTATTTTTATTTTCCCGAAATGAAATATAAAATTGATGATGTTTATATTGTATCGCTAAAAGATCTTCGTCTCTCTTCATCGCGTCTCCTTTCATCAATAAAAGACTGGATTATTTCGATGACAGATGATCTTGATGATGAAGATGGTAGAGATTTTTGGAATTGGATAGAAACAAATTATGAATTGTCGCTCATATCGGATGTGTTAAATACATTTTTTGTGATTGATAAACAAACAAATGCTGTTCTAGGTACTGGCTCGATTGTTAAAGATGATCGAGATATGGGAAAGAAATATGGATTAGATGGAATATGGCTAGGAGGCATCAATATTAACAGAAAATATCGATCCTGCAACTTGGGCACAATTTTAGTTCAATACCTTCATCAATTTATACAACAGTCACTAACTCCTGATGAACAAATCATCGTGAATTTATTTACCGATAGTGAACAGGCTAAGCAAATGTATATAAAACTTGGTTATCAATCACATGGACAAATTGTAGTAGAACATTTTAATTCGCAAGAGGAATTATTTCGAAAAATTTTCAAATAAGTAACACAGTGTCCGTGTAAACTATAATATTATCTCCACCACCAGCGTTCGAACTACGTGTACTACATATATAATACCGCTCTCAAGCCTTTACTGCTCTACTGCAAAAGCTATGTAGGACTGACCTATATTCCAATAACACCAATACACAAAAAGCCTTAATCCACCGCCCA